TTGTTGTTCAACAACCTACCAAAAGTAATATAAAGGGGTTTTAATTACGTTGTGCTTATCAACATGGTGCGGGCACCGTGTATGCTCGAAACTGACGTATAATTTAGAGTTATAATCTGCTAACAAAGTCATATTGTCTGATGACCGATGTCTTCTGTCCGGTTTTACATATAGAGACCTAACATTGCACACTGTCATTTAGAGCAGTCCTCATTATAATCCAGGCGACATTGATTGCAGGGAGGGGGAGTTTAAGAAATACCAAGACACAAATTGTCTGAATAGTTTTTTTTCAACTTTACATACACATTGTATTCACTTGTACCAGCACAAATGATTACACCATGTTTAAACTTATTTCGCTAATCAAACTCTAGATCGACGCGGTGTGATGTTCCTTCACTATATAGATTTCTTTCTCTGGTTTACTGGATGTAATGATTAATGTGTAATAGTTAACCATGATTGTGTAACTTCCGTTGGGTTATGAGATGCAAATAGCTCAGCAGATCAGTTTTCTTAATCGAGCGTGTGAATATAGTAGCGTTGATTACTCGAAAGAAACCGAAAGAAAAGAGTTAAAATTGGAGAAAGAGGTATGGTTTGTAGTTGTAATTTGTATTAATCTATTTAGTTATAGTATTTCACTTATATTATTGCTCGTGATTAGTGTTATTTTGTGAATTTCTAGTACCGTGATACGCCCCCTTTTGCGTTGTTATTGTACAATCGATGTTCTGTGCGAATTATAGTAATAGGCCTTTCGTTGTAATTATCCTTTCAGTTTTTACGTAATCAAGTAAATCAAGAAATTAAAGAGCTTTGATCGATACGAGTGGCTTACTTGGTTTCAGTATAAAGCCTTATCTTAATATCGCGTTCGGAGCAACGATGGAATGTCTCTAGATCCCTCCGTCCGCTACACTGGATTTTCTTTTCGACAAGCTACGCCACTGTTTGACCAAAGAAGCTTATCATGGGAAAACTTTTAAAAGGCGACACTTGGGAGTGCAGTCTTTGACTAAGAGATTATACGATATAATAAACTACGATTAAAAAGGAAATTGTTTTTGAAAGCACTAACTTCAGAACACATTAACTTTGGAATACACTTCACAAGTTTTCTTTGATAATTTATAAAGCGAGCAAAATATGAAGATATATAAATGAGAATGGTATGTAGATCTCAGATGGGTGTTGTTGCTGAAAATGCCTGATGGTAATTTCTTCAACTGGTTGTTGCCCAACAGCCTACCAAAAGCAATAGGGAGGGGTTTTGATTACATTGTGCTTGTAAACATGGTGCAGGCCCCGTGTTTACTCGAAAATGACATTTTTTTAAAAATTATAATCTGCTGACAAAGTCACATTGTCTAAAAACCGATGTCATCTGCCCAGTTTTACATATTGAGACCTAAGATTACACACTGTCATTACTGTCATTTAGAGCAGTCCTTATTACAAGCCAGGTGACGTTGATTGCAGGGGGGGAGGGGGGGGAGTTTAAGATACCAAGACACAAATTGTCTGAATAATTTTTTTTTTTAACTTTACATACACAGTGTCCTCCCTGTGATTTTTATCTCTCAAAGGATGGATTTGTTATTGAGAGACTCCAAAAAATGATGTTATGCAGTTATCGAAAATAAGCACCTTTCTTCACCTTACATTGAACGTTAAGTTCTACACTTTTCACTGGTGAGTACTTGTGACTCTTAGATCCTCATAAACTTGTCAGATTGAATCAACTCTTGGACGCAACAAGGTTTAACTGGGATGCTAGGATAAATTAGTAACCTGCCTACTTTAAATATGACAGGACTTTGTTTTGATATGTCACATAGAGGTTAAAGACTTTGTGATGTCACTCCATTGATGGTCTATCGTTTATCTATGGAGTAACTAACAAACTCATCCTTTTTAGCAGATTCAAAACCAAGCACAATTGAACGACACAACGAAGCGCCCTTCTCTTCGGGTGGCAAAAAAATAGGCCTCTAGTAGTGGCCATCTCCCCCCCCCCCTCCTCCCCCCTTTTCATAGAATGTTCTTTAACTCTTTTTCTTTCCCTGACGTTGCATCTTATCTTTTCTTGCCTTATTAAATCCTATCAAATCGAAATTTATCGCATTTCAGTGACAAGGCAGCCGGTGTAGAGTCTGAGTGTTAAGGTTACCAAACAAGGGCCCATTTTGTGGAAAAAAAAGCAACCATAGCAATAATAACAATGATAATGATGACAAAGATACAATTATGATACTACTTTCGAGTACTATCATATTTTATTTTATCGAAGTCACTCTTCCTGCCGGTGGTGGTAAATACGAGGGATGTTAATGTTTCGTGTTAAGTGTCGAGAACTGTCCTTGATTAGTGGTGCTTCTTCTTATTCTCATGCATATCTGTGGGTTTTTTGTGGCTCTAGGCTCTTATAGGACTCCGCATTTGGGTGACAAACCCTGACATCAAAGAATGCCGATAATTGGTGCTCGCAGAGTCCACGTGCATGAATGACCAGCCTTGTGCTTTCTTAGATGCTCTGTTCAGCTGTAATATCATCCACTGGCCAGTGATATTGTAGTTTGACAGCAGCACGGAACTCCTTTAATCAGGTTGGCGCCCAATTCTCGGAAAGGAAGTATTGTCAGCCTTTTCCAGCTACTTGGTCAAGCACTCGCCTGATCTTTTGTGGTTCTCCTGGTCTTTCGAAAGTGACTACGTTCTGTGCCGACTTACTAAGAGACTCACCTGTTAGCTGTTGTGTTTGAAATGTTTGAGATACTTAACGAGGTGCGTTGACACTTTGACTGATGAAGCGTACTTCCGGCTTAGATTTGCAAGGCACAGGCGCCTCCAAGGCGAACATTAGAGCTAGCATGGTCGTTGCCAGCTGATTACACTTGCGTTTCGATATTCCAGGAATAAGTCTCAGAGTTGTTGCTTTCTCCAGTGGCTCTAGTAGATCCTGATGCCTCGGGCAGTGTTGCCAGAAAGTGCGTCCACCGATGTTTTAAGCCCGAGATGGAAATGGCATAGCATGCCTGTGTCTGTGTCTGAGCGAACTCCACCAATTACCCTACTTCACTGACCCAATCAGACACCTTCTCACTGACGAATTCCTCTTGCTACTCTCGTAAGCCTATGGCCGCGCCTCGTTGTGCCTTCCATTCTATAATGTTGTTTTGATGTCCTTTTCTTTAAATACTTCCTTCACACTTTCCGTCTTGTTTGGCTTTTCGATAATCCATCACTTCTTTTTGTTTGGGAAGAAGCCAAAATCTGGACCCAGAGTACTCCGCATGCCCTACTATCTCATTTCTGTAGTATAACCTGTCCCACCAGCATCATTGGGGAACTACGTCTGCTTTGCCGCGGACGCCACCTGTAGACACGTGATCATAGGCTGGACGGTAAGAACAAAAAGAGCCACAGCGATCGGATCTCCCTGCGTGGTCCCTTCTACTCAGTGACAGGATCTTTTTACCGCCAATAATAATTTAATAATTGTCTTCACGTCTTAGCCACGAACGTACCTCTAACGTTTAATTCTAGTTTTTTTTTGTTTTTGTTTTTGTCATCGGTCCTTTGAGCATCATCACGCGCATATAAAAGTTGAGTCAGCATCCCTTTCAAGTAATTTTCCCTTTGATTTCGAGTGGCCTTGACAACCAGGACCTCTTGATGTTTTTTTGACTCTTGACCCTTGGCTCAAGCGAGACCGATATGTAAGTACCTTTGTAAGTTTGTTTTTAGGTCTTTTCTACAGTTATGAGCAAACATTACAAAGGATCATATCTCTTTCATGTTCTACATGAGGCCCTGAAACACACCCGCTAACAGACTCGTTTGTTTAAGATGCGATGTTTTCTCTTCGTGTTTCATATTAATGCCTTAAATAGATTATGAAGCTGCCCAAAAATGCATGTAACGGTAAGATTATGTTCGGTCACGTAGTGTTGTCTTCATAATGTGCCAGAAAACATTGATTGCAGGGGAGGCTAGGGGTTGATTACCGATAAAGGAAAAGAGTGGGGAATTTTAAAATAACGACACAAAATGTCTCAATTGTTCCATTTAAGATTATATGAAGCGTGTTCAATCCAGCAGGTGCAAAGGAGAACGCTACGTTCAGGTTTATACTGCCAGGTATAGTCATGACCTAAAATCAAAATTATGCGCAAATTAATCTAGTTTTTTTTAAGAGTTCAAAAGAGTTAATTAAAAGAGAACCGGTATGTTAGTCTCCTGACCAGGCTTTATGAAGCATAATTTGCATGCGTTATGGTCACTGATCAGATCTAGTGGTCCGGCGTCCACTACTTAGGGCTTGTCCGGTGTTACAGACAGAGACTGGGCTTTGCTGGTATTGCCACTATGACTTTGCCTAGTTGTGAAAATAATATTTGAGCGTCAGTCAGCAGAGGTACTTGAGGCTTGTCTGGAGCGCCTGGGATGGATTGCCGTAAGGCGATCATCTTCTGCAGCAAAGAAGCCGTCCATATTGGTGGATACGCTCAATGCCAAGGACCGACGCCAAAAATTACTTCTCGACCTGTGAATACTTCCTGTCTGCCACCGAGAGCGCCCCACTTCTATATGTCACTGGTTGACCATGCTGCATCAGTAAAAAGCCAAACCCATCCTTGGACGCATCGTCTTGTCCCCCTGTTTGGTCGTTCTTACTAAAGTAATTGAGTACTGGTGCTTTAGAGACAGCGTCTTTGAATTCTTTGAAGGCATCTTTCTGGTAATGAGTCCATTTCCACTCAGCATTCTTGCGTAACAGGCGGCGTAGTGGCTCTTACATTCTTGAAAGGTTTTATAGGAATTAAAAAAGGTACCTCATTAGCCCTTATAATCTCTTCACTGCTGATTGTGTTCTACAAACTGCTTTTGCATTTAATGATTAATGGCTGCTTGTGACGTTCTGAAATGTTTTGGTCGTCCAAGTTCAATTAACCCTTTAACTCCCAGAAGGGATTAACATAAAACTTCTCCCTACAATATCCATACATTCTTCAGCAAACAGGTAATGAGAATATTCAAACTTATCAGGTAGAAGCTGCTATCTTGATCTAGCATCAAGTTCTCATAACTAATTTATAAGGAAATGTGTAGCAGCTACAGGGGAGAATTAACGATCAGATCTTGGGAGTTAAAGGGTTAAGTAAACTTCCCAAATATCACTTGTGTCATAAATCAGGACTTGCACTTGTGCTCGGGCAATTTTCTGTATTTATAGGCCCCCTTAGTTCCCCCATGGTCATTTTTACAATCAACATTTACTTACGAGGAATAACATTCTGAATTCCACGAGCTCCATACCCTAGGTGAGGAGGGATGATCAATTTTCTTTTTTCACTGCAAAAGAGAAAAAGTAGAATTGAGGACTGTTGAAAAATATCAGCCTGAGCACTGCTTCTTTAAACTCATTTGAGGGAGCCACAAAAATGATCAACCAAAAGGGGTTTTTGAATTTATTTGTAGAGAATAAACAATGTGAAAAGAAGAATAAGAAAGGCAGTTAAGACAGTAAGGGGCTATGAAGCCCAAAGGGAGTTTTACTTAAAAGTTGCCATGCCAATCTTGTTGTCAGTTATGTTTGCAAATAGCTTATTTCAAATTAATAGAACTTGGAAAATAGTATCAATCCATGGGCACAATTTTTTGCACCCCAACTTGTCGCTTAGAAGTAAAATTTTAAGCAGGTATTTTTTTTTCACTTGAGGAAATCCTGCTAAGCTAAGACCCACTTTAGAAGAAGTCCCTTCCTCAATGGCACTAATTGCTAATGACAAAAACCTGCTCATGATGAAAATATTTGACCTTATTGTTGTTTTTTATCACATACTGTAGTATGTATAGCACTTGGATGGTATATTTGGACCCAACATATTGACCAGCTCTCAGTTGGTAGAGCACTGCACCGGTATCACAGAGGTCATGGGTTCAAATCCAGTACGAGCCTGAAATTTTTTTCAGGTCCTATTTTCAACTACTCATTTCAGTAGAGTTCTTAGCTGCGAGGATCCTTTAATTTCATCTCTTCGCTGCAGTGCAAATATATGAATTTCATATATCTAAAATCATTATATGCATACTGTAATATTTCTAAATCTTACCCTATGTACATTCCTTTTATACCCATCTCCCAACCTGTAAAAAAAAAAATTACAGAAATAAGTGAAAAAATTAAGGTGGCAATTACTTGTAAAGTGGTGAACTTTCTGTCACTGCAGTTCACATATTAAAATCTTAACATCTCTAAAAGGGCTTTAACTGAGAGCTTTTAAAAAAAGTATTACCAGCCAGGCAAAAGAAGAACTCAAAATATTGGAAGTCATTATTATTCATCACCTGGATGGTTTATTTGGACCCAACATATTGACCTGCTCCCAGATGGCTTGTTAGCTCAGTTGGTAGAGTGCTGCACTGGTATCACAGAGGTCATGGGTTCAAATCCCATACAGGCCTGAATTTTTCTCAGGTCCCATTTTCAACTACTAGTTCAGTAGTGTTCTTAGCTGCAAGGATCTCTTAAATTCGTTTCTTCACCGCAGTGCAAACATATGAATTTCATATGTCTAAAATCACTATACAGTAATTACACTTTGGTTTTTATTTTCAATGATGCTCACTACATTAGATATCACAAAAGGTAACCTCATATGATCAAATTCACTCAGTAAGAACACTTGACTGAGGACACAGTGGTTCCTTTCTAGTCTAGCTTTTAATGTTTCCTCCTTATAATTTTTATACCTCACTATGTATGTATACATGACCAACAAAATGTCACATAGTTGTAAGCAAAACTATAGTACCTAAATAATTCCCAAATCATAAGTCAAGAGAATACTTCATTCACATGAAATGAAGAATTGGGATATCTTAGCATCTCTAAAATTGTTTTAACCCTTTAACTCCCAAGATTTCTTTAGCAATTCTCCTTACAGTCTGCCAAATGATTCTCATTATGCCAGTTTGGAGAATTTGGTATTGGATCAATTATTAATCCCATAAGATGAGTAGCACAGTCACATAGCCATTTGCTGTAACATAGTTCAAAAATAACTATTTTTTTATTTTTTCACTTTTTATCACTTTTTGACTTTAATTTTGATCAAAATGTACATTGTAATCAATATCTGTAAATATTTTTATTATTTTGCATTAATAACACTAATTTTGGTATTACCCACAATCCCTTGTGGGCGTGGCACATTTTTGGTTTTTCATAAAATCTTAAGAAAATCAATGGAAAAATGGATAAAAAGAGGTTTTGTAATTATTAGTTCACATTGAAGCAATGATTTCCTCATTTTATTTTAAAGGGAGTTTGTAAATAGACTTTCGTCCTCTCTTTCTGACTGGTAGGTCACCGCAAATGTGACAGACAGTATATTACATTGTTATGCAATAATCTGCCCCTGCAAATTCTGTATGGACTCTCCTGTTATTGTCTGTGTAAACGAATCATGTGCTTTCAAAGAGAAGCTGCGAAGGAGCGGATTTCGTGGAAGTTTTAGTGGTGTTTTTCGCCATATTCCTTCGTCACTTTCCTTCGTTATGGTTCATGAACACGGCAGCAATGGTGGAAAGTGTTTCCGCGTCGACCAAACGTAAATTTCTAGCGTTAGATCTAACAAAATGGGTTGAAACGTTCTGTAAATTTAGCTTAATACAAGCCCATTCCAGGAGAGGTGAGCTTGTTTACTCAACTTAACAAGAATTGCGTCTGACAACGGATCTACTGGTGGATATGTGATGGAATTAAGCTCAATATGGCCGTTACGAAATGTGTTTCTGCTCGTTTTATTTTGATCTGGAAAACATTCTACTTGACGATTCAACTTCAGCGTTGGTTTGTAAATATTATGATGTATGCCCATTACATTTTTGTTATTAGTTTGTTGCTTGCACAGTCGAAATTATCATTATTGCTAGTTTTGCACACTATGGTTGTTTTAATAGTTGCGAGCGTTACATTGTTCAGTGATAAAAACAGACGTTTATAACTTGCGTTAGAATAAATCATTCCTGTTGCAAATCATACTGCCTGTTGCTTTTATCATAAACTACTAACGGCCAAAAAATAGTGGCCCCATGTGCGTTCTATATTGAGATATTTCATTTTTTTTCTTCTGTCTGATACATTTCATGTTACGCGTTACACCCAGAAATTCACGCATTTTCAGGAAATATTTATTTTTTACAATTTTCACTTTGTCGCAAACCTTGTTTTCTTTACACCAAAATGAAGTAGGATAACTAAGCTTATATTGTGGAAAGTGTGAGATTTAGAGGTTAAACCTTCCCGAAGATATTCGTTAGCAAAGGCACTTGAGTCCAAAATGGCGGCGTGACTGTGCTACTCATCATAATTGATATTTTTCTTAATTCTCATCACTTGTATGGTACAGATATAGTAAGGAGAAATTCTGTCTTGGTCACTCATGGGAGTGAAAGGGTTAACTAGGAACTTTTAGAAAAGAGTCAGAAACCAGATAGTAAAAGAAGTCAAAATCTTGCAATTAGAACAATTTTTATTTGACTTTGTATAAGTATTGACAGTAACCATGTTTGATTTTATGGTTTAATACTTCATGTTTCTATGTGATTGGCCAAGAACACTTGCTCCATATTCTCAACATATCAGATTAAAAAATAAAACCAATTGCCAGTCAAGTGCTCACTTGAGTTTTCTCATGCTTTATGCAATTTAATTGTTGCCAAACTGTGTTCTCATCAGCTCATGATTTTAAAATGTTTTACCTTTTTTGCTCTAGAGAGCAGTTGACTGATAACTTTGGCTTAATGGCTTTATGAATCCGAAATTAAATCATCCTGATAGTATAGCAAAATAATCAGAGGTCCTGATGCAAGTTACCTTTGATAACCTTCCCTTTGCCCAACTGGAACTCAAGTGGCTCCCTTCCTTTTGCCAGGGATGAGTCGAACATTTGTCCATTCACCAGTGTACCCTAAAAGAGTTCATTGAAAAATTAAGGAAATTCAAACATTTGCAATAGCTACATCTTTAATAAGAATTGAGAACAGGTTTTTACTTTTTGTTGTTGTTTACTTTGTGCTGTTGTTGTTTTTTTTTTTTTATTTTTTATTTTGACGGTTTATTTTTGTCTTTTTGTTTAGGCAGTCTAATTTAAAATGATAACAGAAAGCTAAAGGGAGAGGATGCCAAATTCTATTTACTAATAACAGCTTGGCACCCAAGTGGTTAAAACAATTTTGGTTCAAATTTCTGGCTTGAAAAATGTAAGGATGTGAGAACATCCTTTCCTTAGGAATTCACTGTAATGCTTTCAAGTAAGAAGCAAAGTCATATATGTACATACTGTATAGTGAACAGACACAATGTCGCCATTATCTGCTTTGTCCTCACAGGTAGCAGGCATGTACTGAAATAGAAAGATCATATGATTTTATATAGAATACTTCATGGAAAGTCTGTCCATATGGTAATTACACACAAGTCAGCAGTTAAAATATTCAAGGACTGAGATTTCTGATATAAAACCAACAAGTGCAGACAGATAATGATAACATATTTACTAGCTCTACTAGAAGCTTCTAAACTAGAAAAAGAATTGAAAACTCAAAATTTCATCTAGACTAATAAGTCTTCATTTTTGCATTCTTTCCTGATTAGTGTGAAAATTTCTATAATTTAAGAAATTAAATAACTGCATTCTGTGCAAACCCTAGAGGGAATTTAAGTAATGTCTTTAATCCCTTGGATTTGATTTTGCCCCCTCACTTAATTATATTTACAATACTCATCTAATTTAACACAATTTACTTGATTATGTCCATTGCCCACCAGTTTCCAAATTTGGCAATAAAATAGTTCATTGAAAAGAACACCAAAAGCCATCACAGATCAGAGGATATTCAGATTACTGTGCAGACCATCTCTTCTAATGCTAAAATTATAGTGGCCCAAGCTTTTTTTTGTTTACAACTATTTTGAGAATATTCTTAACAAAATTGTTGTGTCACTCATATTCTACTGAGTTTCAACACCATACTTTTAATGAAAAATCTAGTGAATGTTTTTTAATGAGACTGTAGGAACTTCCCCTCTCAACTCCATTTTGTTTGTCTTAATTCAACAATATATACACAGTCAGGTATTTGAACTACTCTTCAGAAATGCACAAATCATACTATTTCTCTGATACATATTACAATTAAAATCTTGTGCTTATTAGATTGGTATATGTATGAATACAATTCATTGTTACATTGTATGAGTTACGTTGTATGAATCACATGTGAACCATTGAGATCTATGCTTTTAAGTCCTTACAAATTATATTTCATGTAAACTAGAAGATCAAAGCCATGATATTAACCTAATCACTGCTGCCAGGAGACGAGATTTGTAATAAATTATTAATTTCTAGCATCACTTTAGACCACCTGTCGTGACACTCCTTCTCAAATAGCCCAGACTATTATGTAGTGTGCATGTATTTGAACAAAAAAAGCAAAAATGTTCTTAGTTATTTAATTTTCCACTTTTTCTCCATGTGGAGCGCTTGAAAAAATATTATTTTAAATATCGATGAAACAAATACCGCGGTAAAAGGACAAAAAAAAATATCGCGTGATATTTTAGTATCTTTCGCCTGCGAAGGACTAATCCTCTCGTTCACATTTACCACAGAAGTGTTATCAACTGGCATACACAATACATATCAACAGTTTAATCGATATTTCAACAACAACCTCTAGCTTAGCCACTTTTGGCTAACAAACGAATATGGATTTTTTTTCAGTATAACATATTTTGCCATAAAGTTCACCCAAACTCGACGGAATTAGTTTTGGGGTAACAAAAAATGCAATTCTCAAAAGCGTAGGGAAAGGCCCGAAAATGAAAACAGAACTTCCTAACTTCAAGTGAGACTCTGCGATATTTGACTATTTTTTGGACTGATAATTTTATTTTTTTAAGTGTTCATATGTTTTTAAGGTATTATTAAATCGAAGATTTTGTCTTTAAATTATTCAACTTCCAGAATCTTTAACACAACGCTATGGCCATGAACTTATGTAAACAACGATGGTGCATATATCGCCCAGGTCTTGTAAGTTCAAGAAATTCCTTAGTTTTTCCGTTTTTGAACGGTCTATCTAAGACTTTTTGGAATAAAGATATATTTCTTGCTTATTTTCCTTGAATTTTATCAATAGCTTTTGGTCCAGAGAAAATACTATAGGGTTTGTATTCACGTGAGTGTTAGTTTCAAAGCGCGTAGTTCGTGTACTTTTCTCTTGTCTTCTGTTCTGGCTTCTTTTTAACAATTAATCCCTCATTAGTTAATGATTATTAATTAATAAGTTTGCCATTTCAATCACTTTCTTTTGAGCACATGTATCAGATATTGTATCTCATCTTTTATCGCCATTAGTTGCTGCTGTTACTTTCAATGTTCATCTGCTATCGCTAGGAGCTAGACAAAAGTAAGTCTTTCTTTATTTTACATTTACGATATTTCCCTCTCGGTCTGTATTGACTACATTGGTTTATTTCTCACACTCAGTTCTCTTTATAATCGTCTCATTGTTAGTTAGGTATGTGTTGCATTTCCCAGGGTACTTTCTTAGTTTATGTACTGCTGTACTTTTTTTTTTCAGTTGGGACCACACAAATTCAGCAACAATCTTTAATTATAATCTCGTAACCTTCAATCGCAACTTCCCCCTTTTCATCCGTATAATTCAACATGATTTCACACCGATTACTTGATTCTAATTTGTAATTTTGATTACCTACTGCATTTAATTAATCCTTGTTTCTACTGTGCATTCTAATTGTCTTCTCCCTTCTACAAGTAACTTTTGGAGGAACAGAATGTGTAACAACTTATTAGGGACCTCTGCACGAACCATGAATTGCGAACAAAGAATTTGCATATCAAACCATGTGGTTTTAGAACCTTTCTTTAGAGGAGAAATGTTATGAAGATGGCCAGTAAGTTCATCCTCCATTTTTCAGGAACAGGCTGTAAGGGAAAAATGGGATAATACATGAAATTACTGGTATTGACACAAAGACTTAAAATGAGGAGAAGGTACTTAGATTTAAACAGAGAAATAAGTATATTTAGTTGTTATTATATAAACTGGCTAGGAAATTGTTTGCTACTATTGAGAGAAAGGGGAAACCAAATAAAATTGGAAAAAAATTGCAAGCTTACCTCTATCCCTATGATGGAATCCCTATGATATTATTCTTTGATGGAAAAAAGTGTAAGAAGGTTGCCAAAAAGCAAAACAACCTTCAGAATTGCATTATAGTTTTAGGTTATCTTATTGAGGAA